ATCCCCTGAGTATATGATCCGTTGCCAGTCTAGTCAATTCTATCTTTGTATCATCTAATACAGCACATCAGACATAAAAATCACTGAAGGGAGCTTGTTAAAAGTGCAGCTGTCAAGTCACTGTAACTAGAAGATTCTGATTCAGTCAGCCAAGAGTAGAGGCCAGAAACCTGCATTTGAAACCAAGCATTTTTAACAGCTACCCACTCATCCATCTCTACTACTGGTATACTTCTATAGTCCTCAATACCTCTTGTCCAGAGCACTTTTGTGCCTTAATTCACCTTTCTACCTCAACCACCTTCCACTTTCTCACCTCACATCTGCTGCCAATTCAGTCTCCCTGGGCACAGCTCTGTTCATGTTCCCTTAATTTAAATTTATTCAAAAGGTCCCCCTGCCTCAGTCTCACATTCAAGCCCCTCCAATATCCAAGCCCAACTTGCATGCAAATTAGTGTGAAATAATTACAGAAATAACTGTCAACTTGAATTTCTATTCATCATACTTCATTGTCACAATTTTTCTGAAATGTATTACAACAACATGTAAAGGATAATCATGATTCATCTTGGTGGCCTATAATAGTTCTTCAGTATTCATTTGTATTTCCAGGATATCCTAAAGTGAGTTCCTACATATGAAGAAACTGGGTCAGAAATATTATGTCTGACACAGCAGTCACCTGGGTCATTTTTTAAAAAATCATTAAACAAATATCTACTATCACTAATTCCATAACACAAAAGTATATGCATGTGCCATGTATTAGGTGACAAACAACTTATACTTTTCAAATATATAATAATCAAAACAGGAGCATAAATAACCAAAATAATAAATCAGGCTATCATCCTGGAAAAAGAAAGACAGGCTTTACACTTCAATCAATTTTGTACTATAACACCAAATAACAGAATAGAGTTAAATCAGCAAATAGGTGGCACAGTATCTTTATCTTACAAATAGATACTCACATAAATTTATGAGTATCTATTTGTAACAGTGTGTTGGAGATTCATATATCATAATATATTATTTTTAAAGCTAAGCTGTTAGAGAAATTACTACAAATGGAATATCATAGTATATCCCATTTAGTATATTCCATACAGGAAAAATCCCAAAAATTTTCCAGTAGATTTACCTCTATGAGCAGAGGGATGCCAAGATAATTCAACAAATGGTGCAGGGACAACTGAATATCCACATGCAAAAGAACAAATTGGAGCCCCCACCTCATACCATACAGAAAAATTTATTCAAAATAGATCACAGACCTAGATTAAGAGCTAAAACTGTAAAGATCTTAAAAGACAATGCAGGAGTAAATTTTTGCAACCCTGGATTAGGCAAAGCCTTCTTAGATACCACACCAAGAGCACAAGTGACGAAAAAGAGAAATAAACTGGACTTCAAAATTAACAAGTCTTGCGCTTTAAGGAATATCATTAAGAAAGTGAAAAGACAACCCAGAGAATGGAAGAAAATATTTGCAAATCATAAATCCAATAAGAGATTAGTATCTAGACTATATAAAGAACTGCTACAACTCATTAATAAAAGTCAAATAATCCAATTAAAAAAAGAGCATGATCTGAAAAAGATATTTCTCCAAAGAAGACAAAGATGACGAATTAGCACATGAAAAGATGCTCAACATCATTATTCATCAGAAAAATGCAACCAACCCACAAGATACCACTTAACACCCAGAAAGATGATTAAATAATAGCTAACAACAATTATTGATAGAGAAATTGAAATCTTTATAAACTTCTAGTGGAAATGTAAAGTGGTACAGCCACTTCAGAAAATATTCTGGCAGTCTTCCAAGGATTAAACATAGGGCTACCATATAACCCAGCAATTCTACTATTAGGTATGTGCCCAAGAACTATGAAAACGCATGTCCACACAAAAACTTGTACACAAATGTTCACAGAAGCATTATGAATCAAGAAGTGGAAACATCTTGATGTCCACCAACTTATGAATGAATAAAATGTGATATATCCATATAACAGAATATTATTTGGCATAAAAAGGAAGTACTGATACATGTTGCAACCAGGATAAATATGCTAAATGTCAGAATGCAGTCACAAAAGATCACCTATTGTATAATTCCATTAGATGAAATGTCTAGAATAGGCAAATCTACAGAGACTGAAAGTAACTATAGTAACTATCTAGGGCTGGGGTTGGGAGGAAAATGGATAATAAATGCCAGTAGGCATAAAGTTTCTTTTTGACGTGATGAAAATGTTTTCAAATTGATTGTGGTGACAGTTGCACAACTCCATAAAGCTGTACTTTTCAAATGAGTGAATTGAATGGTGTATCATTTATATCTCAATACAACCATTATTTTTAAAAAAGAGCAGAGGGAAGTGAAATTGTAATCTTTAATGTGATGTCACAAAACAGAAAACATCTTTGATCTCATTTTACCTCAAAAATTGTGTGAATTTTATATTCCATAATACATAAGTGTTTTAATGTGATTAAAGTTTTATACCGCTTCCCATGTGCAAAGCAGACTGAAAATCTGTGTCTGTCCTCTCCCACAAAATACAAATCAAAACGCTTCCTCAAATCTTGAGTTAAAAGGATGCTCCAGTAACAGATGCTATTAATCCTGTGGCTCAGTAATCCCTCAGTACACTGCTAGGATCCAAGCACCCCAGTCCTTGTCCTCAGGATTAGTAGTACAGACTTTAGACTGAAGTCAGAAGGGTCCCAAAACCTGAGCTCACACTTAGTAGATGGGTGATCTTGGATAGATCCAACTTTTCTTGGCTTCTGTTTCCTTGTGGGTAAATTGGGGATATGTAAAGGTTACAGAATAGGCCCTCAAAATTGGTTTCCCTATATCTATTCTAGTTACAAAGATATTGGGAAAAAGCAAGTCTGTACTATGATAGGCAGAATATTATGGTGAAACTATAAAATATGTTAGGAAATTTAGTCTAATCTCTTTTTGCATATGATGAAGCGAAAGTTCAGTGATTGGCTGGACTCAGAAAGTAATCAGTTGCTTTACCGTGTTCTTACTAATTTCATGTCCTCAACAAGTTTGCAAGTCTATTAATAATCTCCAAACTATTAACAGAACTCTTCCTGACAGAACGCCTTTTATTAGCAGTGTTAGATCCATGTCTACCACATTCTGTCTCCTTCTAACAGGGAGTGTTAAGCTATAGAGAAACCAACAATGAGAAGTTCTTAAGTAGTTTCCAAGGAGTGAAAATAAAGTTTTCAGGGAATGAAACTGTGGTATTACAACATATTGAGATAAATTCTGTAATTTTTCACACCAAAAAAATGTCAAAGAGAAGAAAAAAAGCAGACCTCTCTGGACTGCAATCAGATATCCCCACAACAGCTGGAAGTGTGAGTTAGTCTTCAATTCATGGGACAAACTACCTTCTAACTTCTCTGGGAAGACATTCTTGCCTGGGTAGAATGCATGTCAGTCAACTCTCACTGGCATTCTTAGGCCGTGTGAAACTGAGAGAGGATAACCGTTACAGGATATGGTGAAAGTTATTTGTCAATATTAGTATGCCATCTGCTCTGTAATACCATGAAACTCTCATACACCTTTAAAGGAGTTTTATTCTATATCTATAACTAACTTAGGCAGTTACATTTAGATTATTATCAGTTGTTTTCTTATAGTCTGAGGAAAAATATATACTCCCTAAAAAAATTCATTGGTCTTAAAAATCGTAGGATTCTATATTATTCTCCAATTTTGTAAAACACACAGAAATTTCTAGCATACACAAAATTTTCTAGCATCTTCAAAATACTTTCACTTATATTACTTTCTACGTAGTAAAATACCTCCCTCCATTACTCCTTGTCGTTTCATCAACATTTCTTCCAAATTATATTCTGTAACTAATTTAAGTGGAGGTGGGGAGAAAATGCACAAGTGCAGGGCTCTTAATTTCCTTAAAATAGATTGAAACAATCTCGGGGGGTGGGGGGAGAGGCGGGAGAAGAAATACAAGTTCATAATACTGAAATCAGCGGTTGATATTTCACAGTAGTTAGCAAATCTTCCTTCAAACTTGGGTCTGATTGCCTGATGATTTAAAAAAATAACCTTCTGGAGTCAGAACCGGTGTAAACCTGAAGCTGCCTCTCACTAGTTGTCCAATCTTGGTTGGACGCGTCCCTTCTCTTCTCTGAGCGTGACTTTCCTCATCTGTAAAAGGGGAATACTATGATCTCATGGGTGGTTGTGACGGGAAAAGGAAGCACAGCTTGTAAATCATTAAAGTGCTTTTAATCCAGCCCTTAAAAAAGCACTTAAGTGTACCTTTTATTGCTTGGTTGGCTTGTTTTATAGGAAAATAGTTCTTAAATATGATTATCTATAATTAATAAACTCCAATATACTATTCAGACAGACACATGTCGATGCCATGGTTGGTTCTCCTTTAAAACCAAACGCCTTTCCCTCCCAAGGGCCGGCACCCAGCGGCCCCGCCCCAGCTCCCCTCATTTTCACCCCAGCTCCACCTTTGGTCCCTCCACTACGGTTCAGCTGACTACTCTCCCTTCACCCTTAGCACCACAGGTTTCCTTCCCCAGTTCCACAACCACCTGGTAAATTTTCTTTTCCGTTACTGGCCTCCGCCTCGGCCCGCCACCTCCCTGGCTATTTGAGTCCCTTCGTGGACATCCCCGACGCGCCCCAAGAGATGTGCGTCTAGTTGGGGAGAGTGGGTCAGAGTATCTCCCTAGCTCTGTTTTCAAACCTCCTAGTGGACTGGTAAGGGGGTGACATTGCCCCCCAGAACGCCGAGCGCTCGAGGCTCGTACTCACCAGTCGCTGCCACCCTTCTTCCCAGCGCCGGAACTCGGCGCTCGCGGAACCTGACACTCGTGGGAAGTTGCGATGAAAGGGGACCTGGAGGGAGAAGTGCAAGGCCGAACTCTTCCTGAGGCGCCTGCGCAGTAGCGGGAGCCGCGCAGCGGAGCACTGCCCCAACCTCCCTTTCTGCGCCGCTCGGGTACGCAGCTGCCTGGCCAGCGTCTACGGCACCAACTCCGGACTGGTTGGACCAGGCAGCAGAGTCTGAGACATGTTCTTGGATTGGATGCTGGAGACCGAGTTGAATGTAACCTTCTTTCCTACTGGTTAGACAGGTGCTTGGCGAGGTCGAATTGGACCTGAGAGTAGAGGTTCATTCCAATCTCTCACCACGCCCCTTTCTTATCATCCTAGATCAATAGCGAGTCCCGAAAAGGCCTCTGGCAATTGCCAAGCCGAGGGCCTTCTGCCACTTAATGTGCACCTGGCAGATTATGTGGCCGCGAAGAAAACAACTTTGGCTGCACGAAGTTCGGCACAATCCTAGAGAAGCTTCTGCCAGTTCCAGTGAGTTGAGATAAACGAAACGTGGATCTGCCATAGCAGTGTTACTGGACAAGTGAGCACCTTTACCGGGGAAGCTGGTTTAATATGCAGTTTACAAGTAGGGTTAAAAGCAGCACAGTCCCTGTTGCAGGGAACTAGTAATGGGTTACAGCTGAGAAATAAGTACTTACTTTGACAGATTCTATGTGGGATTGTGCTCCTGCTTTTGATTGAAAAGTTATTCAATAGAATAATGTAAACCTTCCAACAGAAAGAGAAATTACCAAACAGAAGTACAATTATTCCCTAACAGGTTGTCCAGTCACACTTGGCAATAAGAGGACAGCATCTTTTTTCTCGTCGTATCTGTAGTGCCAAACACAGAACTTGGTATAGAAATACTTATTAAATCTTTATTAAATTTAATGGAACATTTAAACGTACATTGAGTTCATTGTCCCCCATGTTAAAATACAGGCTCCAAGAAGTATTTTCTTCTTGTTCACTACTGTATTTCCAGCTCAAATAAAAAATCCAAATAAATAAATTAAGAATATTAATCACACGCAATATCCTCAAGTGTGAAGCATTTAAGAGCTGTAAATCCAGTACCTGGATTAGTAAACTACAGTCATGGACTTGAGATATCAAAGTCTGAAGTTGGTCCCCTTGGTTTGAACTTTATAGTACAGCTATTACTAAGAATCTGGAAGCAGCCATGGAGATGATTTGGCAATAGATGTATTATGTTGATTATTAGTTTGTACCTTAATAAATTCCAGTTTTAAGTCTCAGGTTGGCCTCTGCATTGGTGAATATGGGCATGGGCTGTCAGAGCTAGAGGGATGGTAGAGGGTATGTAGTTGAATCCCTGGAACCTGGCTTGAATCCTCACTCTGTTACTCACCAACAGAGCAATTATGGGCCAGTGTCACAACATATCTGAGCTTTCATTTCCTCATCTGCAAAACAGACCTTGTCACAATACCAACGTCTTACGATTATTTTCAAATGAATGAGATAAAGTAAGTAGAGTACTCAACACAGTATCTGACACATACTAAGGGTTGGGGAATATTATCACTATGACCAAAAACAGTACCCCAATTTGAACAATAGTCAGGGTAAGGCCAAGTTTTGGGGGAATTTATGTAATGTCCAGTTACATAAAATTTAAGTTTAGCAGATCTTAAATTTCATGGCATTCGAAGGTATTGTACATATCCTGTTTGTTCATTCACTAGGTGCATATGTATGCTTAAAGGGTGGACAAAACTGAGTGCCATCTAGGTCAAATATGTGGTGAAGATAGCAGCTAGATTGGCATCAGGAGAGAAGGACTTTATCCACTGCTACTGCCCTTGTGGCTGGGTCAAATTAGGAAATCTCATGCCTGGGCTCCTGCTCTATAAGATATAGGGTCAGGAACAGAGGGACAAAATGACACATAAGGACGTTTGGCCCTAAACTTTTGTTATCCTCTCTATATATTTACCATTTCAACCACAGCCAAAATCTTGCTATAGTAAGGACATTTATCACCTTGTAGAACAAGAAGTCCAGAGGTAAGGCAGACTTCAGGACTGGATGAGTTAGCAACTCAGCAATATCATGGTGTACTCAGTTTTTTGCAGCTTTACACCTGGCTTTTAACAGAGTTGGCTCCTGGTTCCTGTAGTGGGAAATATAACTACCAGCAGAAACAGAAACCAGGTAATTCATTTTTCACTTCCACTGAGTGACAGAAATGACTTCCAGACTTCCTCTGTCTCTTAGAAGTCTCCAGCAACTATCTCCTTCAATCACTTTGGACTGAATTGTGTCATATGTCAAAATCCGAGCCAGTAAATGATATGGTTACCTGTAGACCAATGCAGTCCACATCTTGAACTGAGTTCTCTCCCAAACTGCACTTTTTTGCTCAATGGAAATGAGGTGGAATGGGTGCAGGGAAATCAGCCACAAAGTTCACTATAGTTTCATTGTAGGAATTTAATGATTATAAAAGAAAACATAATGGTAACATAAATTTCTTATTTACAGTGTGATTTTTAGACTTAAGTGTTGTTTTATTTAGGTAGGTAAAATAATATTCATTTATAATGTTTTTTTCAGCTCAGCTTTTGCAAAGGGAATTTTATATAAATTTTTGAAATATAGAGAGCCTTTAAACCCATTTTATGTTAGAGATTGAAATGAACTGGAAGCACTAGTCTAAACTTACCATTTACAAATGAATGTACCCTACAGAGAAATGTCTGACCAAATATACAATTGGATAGAAGAAATATATTCTAATGTTTGATACCAGAGTAGGGTGACTATAGTTAAAATCAATGTATTGTATATGTCAAAGAGAGGACTCGAAACATTCCCATCTCACAGAAATGATAAATACTCAAAGTAATAGATACCTTAAATACCCTGACTTGATAGTTACACATTCAACATGTATAAGAAAATATCACATCTGTCCCATAAATGCATACAAATATCATTTATCAATAAAAATATTCACAAAAACTAACTACAACTAGAGCCTTTGCCTCCATGGAGCAATGTCAGATTTGGAAGCAGCATGTCAAAGTCAGTTTCTTTTTCTCCCATGAACTACACTCAAGACTGAACATTCATTCGTTAACACAAAACATTTTAAAAACCTTACCCTATTTTCACAATTAAAGACATAGCTCTCTATACAATTATTTCTATTTTATACTTCTAATTGTGATGTATAACTCATTGCTGGAAGGAGTAGGTCAGAAGTTAGAAGTTACAGAAAAAAGGTTTCAGAGCAAAAGCCATACCCTGCCCAAAGAAAAACAATTACCGTCCACTGCTCAGTTCCAATTAAACAATGACGCAACAGAAACTAAAGAATTGAATTTCAAGTCACTAGGAGAGTATTTAAGATTCACTTTTTAATATAAATTACATGTCAAAGTAAACAATGCAGACTTTATCTTATTGCAATGGGGGAAAGGGACCTTATCATTGTATTTTAGTGATTTTGAAAGTTTCTTTGGTGAAACTTTTCACCTACTCCATTTTCAGTAAGATTATATTGGAATAATTTCAATCAAGTTGAGTTTGTAAAATATTTTTAAGCACTCCTTTAAAAAATGATTCTGTATTAACCACCATGAACTATCGTGTCAGACATTCTTCACTCTAAAGGATTTTTTTTCAACTATTTAATGAAGTCGTGAAAGAATCAGTATAAATTCTTTTGAGGCTTTCCTATGTGGAGAGCCCTGTGCTCAGTTTTTCAAAAGATACGAAAATGAGTAAGATTTATTCCCTGCCCTCAAGGTGCCTCTAATCTAGGAGAGCAAATGGAGAGGACACTACTCTGGTACTTTTTCCTGCCCAGCATTCATTCCTCCTCCTTCTGGCGATTCCTCCAGGAAACCACCCCACCTTCAATTCTTTGACTATGGGAGTCAGATGGGGCTGACTGTCATTCCCCTCATTTGCAGGGCAAGACTTCTAAGGTGCCAGCTATCTTGGTTTGTCTCAAATGGAAGAGGTTCCTGGGATATGGGATTTCTAATTCTAAAATCAGAAAAGCAACAAGCAAATTGGGGTGAGTTGATCACCCTAACCCTGACCCAAGCTTGGGCTTTTAGAGCCAATTTTACTCCATTAACCACATGAATTAGTTCATTGATGGGGACATGCCTCAGACCAGGCCAAAATGACTCAATTCTGAAAGTTTTGTTGAAACCATTGGGAAAGAGTCAGTGTTTCAGCAACAATTGCTAAATGGGTAGAGTATAAACCTATCTATTTAGCAATTGTTGATACAGGAGTATAAGGAGGCTGACCTCCTTATACTACCTATTTAACAATTGTTGATTACCTATTTAGCATTGGAGCTGCTGGTGGACATCACTGTCACTGTAAAGGGAAAGTCTACCGAGAATGAAGGTAACACAGAAGAAAGCAGAGCCAAGAGCTGAAGCCCAACACCTGATGACACTAAGCACTTGGGTCCAAGTTTCCCTGAAGCTCCATCCTTGGACATATCACTTTACATGACTCAGTAAATTATCTTTTTGCTTAAACTAGTTTTAACTGGGTTTCTACTACTTGTATCTAAATAAGAGCTAAGAAAAGGGAACATGTGTTTATACTATACTGTCAAGTGAGGTAAATGCTATAAAAGAGGCCCAAAAGGAGAAAAGTTAAATTATGCAGAGGTGAAATTCAGCTGCAAGAAATCAGGAAATGAATTCAGGATGAGCTGGCATTTGATTAATTCTTGCAGATTAGCAAGTGTAAGTAGCTTCCTATGACTGCTCTAACTACCACACTCTTAGTGGCTTGACTAACACAAATTTCTTGCAGTTCTGGAGTTAAGAATGGATCTGCAGGGCTGCTTTCTTCTGGAGATCTTGAAGAGAATTCACTTCTTTGCCTTTTCCAGCCTCTAGAGGCCACCTATATTCCTTGACTCATGGTCTTACACTTTTATCTGCAAAGCATCTTCTAATCTCTCCCTCTCTGATTCTGACTCCCCTGCCTCCTTTTTTCCTGATAAGTTTTCCACATCATGATTACACATTGTGCCCACCTAGATGATGCAAGATAATATCACCCCTTCTCAAGCCCCTTGCCTTAATCACGCCTGCTAGGTCCCCTTTATCATGTAAGGTAACTTGTACATTCTGGGGATTAGGATGTAGATATCTTTGGGCAACTATTAATGTCTGGTTGAGGGAATAGCATTGGTAAAGGCACCAAAATAAGAGAAGTGTGTTAGTCCATGAAAATAATTTAATTTTCCTGGAAAATATTTCAGGGATCAGTGGGATTGAGGCTAGAAAGTTTGGTTGAAATAACCTTGTCTTGTAGACAGGGAAGGAATCATACTTCATTTAGTACTTAATGAGGTGCAAAGCACTGTGCTTTTTGTATTGTAGAAATAGGGATGAGTATAACATTATCTGTACCCTCAAAAAGTTTGCAATGTAGTAGGGAGAAAGATATCTATATGTAAAGTGTCCAGGATAGTCCTAGTTTAAGCCTGTCATGCCACATAAATATTCATTGTGCCCCCTTTCACCTTAAAAATGTCTTGGTCTGGATGATAAAATATGTGATCACCCTACCTAAATGCCATCATCATCATCATTTATTGAATATTATCATGTAGGAGCCCTGTGTTAGACCTTGGGAGAAAGCAAGAGATACAAGCAAATTTTCTGGGCTCAAGGTGTTTATAATTTAGTTTTAGAGTTCAAAGACGTTTATAACATGGTAAGGTAGCACAAATAGTATTTGGTCAACAAAGCAGCAGCGTAAATCCTAAGCAACAAAAACAGAAATTAGGTGCTACAGAAAACAAGAGCTGTAAGAAGATGAGAGACATCCCTGCAGCCTGGGTGACCAGGCAGGCTGCAACCAGTGAGATGCACAGTTGGCACTGGAGCTTCAAATGTAGGCAGGCTTGTGAAAATGAAGATGCACAGGCGGCACCCAGGTAAGGACATAGACCTGGATCATTTACGATGTGTCAATAGAGATGGAGAAAAATGTCACTGCCTTGTGTTTCAATATTTCACTGAATCTAAGATAACTCCTTTGTTAAGAAACTCTATTATTTTATATACCACTAAGGAAAATTGTTGCCCATCCGCTTTAAGAAATATTCTGATTTCAGAGATGTTAAAATGTGGAAAAAATTCTATTTTAGAAGGTGAAATAAGATAATATTTCTTCTCAAATTTAAAGATTCTTGCTAAAGTGGCTCACCTGTGGACTTAATTTCTTTAAATTTTTTAAATTGTTATTTGATGTTTCTAATCATTGGTCATCCTATAGCTTTCTCCCAAGTATATTTATATCTCAAACTATGGGACTACAAAAAATGTATGTAGAATTTAATAAACATTTTCTTCCTAACAGTGTGATTAAAAGAATTCTCTTTACCCACAAACCCTTCTTTGGATCCTACTTGAAATATCCAGAATTAGCACAGCCCATTTAAGATATTAAAAGAGCTATACATTTTAATTGGGTTGAGTCCGGATAGAGTAATATATCAGTTAAACAACACATTTGTATATATTCGTTTACTGTTTCTCAAACTTGCTGAATTACAGAATCATCTGTGGTTTTGGTTAAAAATGTCCCAAGCCCCTCCTTTGAAGATTTGGATCTAGTAAATATATTTTTTTTAACATTTGGGTAAAAATATATTTTCCCCCGCTTTATGTCTTGGCACTAGTGATATATGCATAGATTACCTGTCCACCACTCTCCTACCTTAACAGATGCCAAATTACCAAGCATGTTTCTAAGTGATTGCTTTCATATTTGAAAAAATGATATGCTTCATGTCAATACTATTACTTTAGTTTTTAAAAAAAGACAATGTCTAACATGCAGCTTACATACATGACAATTCTGCATTAACACTGAAAGTAGATTACACAACAATTTTAGAAAGCACATTGGTTATTTCCAAACAGCAAAATGACAAGGATCTACAACTACAGTTTAAGGCATATCAGCATATTTTAAAATTAATATAGACAAAGTTCTAATGCTGTTCACAGCTTTTCAACTTATTTAAAAAGTTCCCTTCATACCTATATAGAAACTAGACTTTGTAGGTCATAAATCCCACTGAAGAATGAGTCCTGGCAGTGGAACCAGGACTTCTGGAAGCTGAGAGTTGACAATTCCAGACACGTGCAAATGGCAAAGCCAAAGGATGGAAATGGACAGTTTTTGTAGGACCACACAGAGACAGTAGGACGTGGGTCTGTAACAGCTGAAAAACCTCACTCAGCAGTCTGTATGTGAAACAGTCATGAAAATCTCAAGAAAGCAAGGAAACCAAGTCTTCATTTGAGGTGCACAAGATGTGGAGAGTGTATGTTACTGCTGGTGAGTCACAAGGCAGAAAAGGAAGATAAGTAATCTGCGCCCAGTGTTACAATAAATAATTTCCCTTGTTGAAATGCCCTTTTTGGAGAAAACCTTAACCAATTAATAAAGAGCCTAAGTTGGGAAAACAGTCTGAATTGCCAATAAATTCTCATCAATGCTTTTCCATCACATTCTACAGCACATGTGTTATGGAGCTTTAAAGCTCAGAAGAAGCAAAAAAAAAAAAAAAAAAAAATGGTCATTATGTTTGAAGAAAAGATGTGGGGAAGGCCAGCTAGAGTTATATAGGTTCCTCTCCCCCCAAAAAAGAGGCAGCCACTGTCAGCAGTTAGCACCAGGAAGAGACCATTAAACTAAGATTAAAAAGAAAATTAAGTGGTCATAAAGGCATAAAATTTTTTTCTTGGTTTTCTCTAGTAGAGGGTGGTAATTTCTCATTCTGGCTTTATTTGCATTGCCAGAATCAAGGCCCCTCTGAATTATCCAGTGATGCCCATGAGGCTATGTACAGCACGGGCAAGGATTAATAATTTCTTTTCTTTTGTTTTTGGAGACAGGGTCTCACTTCATCACCCAGGCTGGAATGCAGTGGCGTGATCTCAGCTCACTGCTACCTCCACCTCCCAGGTTCAAGCAATTCTCCAGCCATAGTCACTCAAGTAGCTGGGACTACAGGCATGTGCCACCACACCTGGCTAATTTTTGTATATTTTGTAGAGATAGGGTTTCACTATGTTGGCCAGGCTGGTCTAAAACTCCTGGCCTCAAGTGATCCACCCACCTCAGCGTTCCAAAGTGCTGGGATTACAGGCATGAGCCACCACAGCTGGTCTGGATTAGTAATTTCTGATTTCCAAATTTGGGTCAAGAGGTGGAATTTATGTGGCTTTTGTGTAAAAAAAAGTATAAATGTGGCCTTTTAAATAATAGTTTAAAAAAAAAAGGCTACTCAAACCTCAAACATTACCTCCCTGCCCCCCTTGAAAAGAAAAAAATCCATCCATCCATTTGCTTTCTCTAATTTTGAAAACTCAGAAAGATCTCAAAGGTTTCTTACTACCGTACTTACATGCAAAGGCGAAAGGGCATCCAGTTAGATTTGAGGGTATCATTTATTCCTGTAGAGTCAAGGACTACTGTGAAAAAAGGTATAGATACAGAAAGAATAAAGAAGAGCAGCAATGACAAACTAAACAGGGCTGAGGAGCAGTGGCAGAAAGAAGTTCAGAAGCAACCATTAAAAAAAAAAAGCTTCTATTTATTTCTTTTGACTTTATTCCCTGACTCTCCATATGATTTATTTTGCTGTGAAAAATTTAATGCAAAAAGTCAATCCAGTCAATAATCTTGGAATCAAAAAGTCAGCTGGATGCCTTTCGTTGTTAAGCTCATTTTTAAAAAATTTAATGATGCAAGAAACAACTTAAAAGTATACTTTCTGTATAAGGCACAAAAATGCTCACACAAGCAGTGGTTGGAACAAGCAGACAACACAAATATTCAAGCTTTTGTCTGCTGCACAGCCTATGAGCAAATCCAGCCCATGGTTCGCATCAACATGCCAGCTACTATTTGGCTGCTCCACAGCTAGCTTTAGACTAGAATCATTTAAGAAAACAAAAGTAAGAACAAGAATGTTGGTCCAGTAGCTCCCAAACCTGTGAAGACTATGCTGCTGCGTCTAGTTTATGGTTTGTATCCCAGCTTCATTTAGGCTTCAATGAAACTGATTTCCTTACTTTGCCTAATTAAGCATAATCAGTTCCTGGAAGACCATTCCTTCTTTCCTCTAAGACAAAGAAAAGGAAAAAGTTTTGCTGAAATCAAATAGAGACTTGTTAAAATTCAAAAAAGAAAGTGTGTGTCAGGGGAGATGCAGCATATTTTATCATTTTTACTTAACCTATAACTAATGAGGGCCAGAGGAAAATGCAGAGGGGAAGCAGGTTGATGAGAAATGTTATCCTTTCAAATAAGAACAGGAGACTACATGTAGAGAGAAAGCCGGGAGGATCTTGTTAGGAGAGGGGAAAAAACAATCACAGAGGATAAGCATCAGAAAGGAACAGTATAGAAAAGATTAAATATGCACTTTTCCACGCAAATTAGGCATGTAGTACAGGTTCTGGCATATGGGCCAGTTCTAATCCCTGATAAGGCAAAAGACTTAGACAAAGAGCAGGTGGAGCTAGCCATGGTGAGGAAAACTCCTGATGATGATTTCAGACTTCAGCTGTTCTATTTCTTCTTTTTTTATTGCCAAATACTGGAAGGAGACTAGGCAAGGAAGCTGGATAGGAAATGTCTACCTTCTTGCCTTATGGGTCATGTTGTGGTCCTTCCTATTTCCACCTTAAAATTTGCAAGGTCCCCTCAAATTTGTGCTGCCAATGATACAGTTTATAACAAATTTTCTAAGGAAAGTATTTGTGGACATTTTCTCATGATTAGTAAAAAATTTTATTAGAAGTACAAATATCCTGGAATCAGTCATCAGGTCCTCCCTCTAAGCCCACTGGGAACAAACTGGGGTGTGTTTATGAAAGATTCCTTATTGTTAGTGGTAAGTGGGTTGTAGAAAGCCCAACATCCTTAGTAGAAGATTTTTCTACTAAGCAATGTTATATGATCTAACCTTTAAGATCCCTGTCTGTGAGAGGATCAAGGATGCACCAGAAAATGTGAACATAATCATAGTTTTCTCACACCAGTCTACTCCAAATTGGCCAGGATTTGAAGGCAGGCATTCAGATACAGTTGCAAACCATCAGAGGAGACAGTCTGAACAGACCCACAAGCTCAAGCTTGATTAAAATGATTAAAATGAAAATGTCATGCAAGTGTAAAAATAAAATATAATGCTTGCCCACCATTCTGTCTACAGACAAATCTATCTTGGCTTCGGAGAAGTGTGGAGAAAAGACAGTGAGTTCAGGAACTGTGCACTCATGGAGATGAATAATCAAGAAAATGCAAACTCTTGTCATGGCTATGCAGGTTTTTAGGTCAGCTGCTGAGGCGGTGAGTTTTCATGTCAGACGTACAGGTAGCATTTTACCCCTTTCCTCTGTCCAAAGCGACATACAGGTACCAGGCCTGCTTTGTGCTGCCATTCAGAACAGGCATAAAAAGCAGATCATTTACTTTCCAAAAACAGTCCAGCTGCACAGTGCTTTTGCAGCTAGTCCCTTGTTCTGTCACTTTCTACCACCCAACAACATTCAGCAAAATGAGTTAATAATAGTTACTGGTGTTTGAGGAAGGGTAAAAAAAATAAAATAAAACTAAAGAACACATATGGCAGAGTTACGATATTACTGCAAAAGCAGGTGAATGCGGGAACATTCTTGACTTGCCAGGCTTTATGTGAAGCTTGCATTTTTCTTATCCTTGTCTTTCTTGGTTTGCTGGGCCCCAGATTGCTGGGCCTGGGACTGTAGTAACTGAGCCACCACTTTCTTCTTCTGGAAGTTGTTCACTTTCTCCTCAAGCTCCTTCTTCTTGTCTTCCACTTTCTTCTTTTCTTCTTGGTGTGTCCACTTTAAAAGGTCAAACTTCTCGTGAAGCTCTTTCTCTGCCTCTTTAAGTTCAGCTTCTTTCTCCTTCACTCTCATAACAAACATTTGTCTCATTTCTTCTTCTTTCTTCTGCAGTTCACCCAGGAATTCATTCCTTTTTGCTTCATATGTCTCCTGAAGACTGAAGGGTTTGCTGTCAGGGTCGGTGTCCTTGAACCTCATCTCTTCAAGCTTACAGCGTCCGTACAGTTCGTAGTGGCGGGTGTGAGTCTGCTCTCACAAGTCTTCCATGTTCACCAGGATCAGCATCTCTCGAAGTTTCACAAAATCACAATGGTTTTCATTCTCAACCTGCACCACACCCCAAGGGTACTGCCTGGCCTTTGCCATCTTGTTGCCAATCTTCAGCTCTTCGGTGCTGCCAACCACTGCAAATGGGAGATGGACACTCGTTGTGTTAATCTTTGCCACTGTTTCCTCATCAGTGGGGAACTGATATATCTGGACCCCATTGCTGACTAGTTCACTCATGATCTTGCTCTTGAATTTGTGCAGCTCTTTCTTGGCAATGGTGTCAGCTTTCACAATTATTGGGATGATGTTCACCTTACTGTCCAGCTTTTTCATGGTGACCAGATCCAGGGATTTTAGTGAATGTCCAGTAGGGGCAATAAAGTAGAGGCAGGCATGGATCTTCATGTCATGGTAGTTGAAGAGAGATCGTTTAATCTTCAGTTCCTCTTGCACGTAGGCCTCGAACTGGGCGTCAATATATTCTACTATCAGCTTATAGCTGTCATCTTTATTTATCTGGTCTCCAAATTCCACTGTGTCAACGATGGTTAACTTCAGCCGTACGTTGCTTTCCTGAAGCTTGTAACTTCTGGCTTTTAACTGGACACCTGGTTCATTGTGAGTAGCTGGGTCACTTTCATATTTGGTGTTGAACAAAGTGTCCATTAATGTGGATTTACCAATGCCTGTCTCACCAACACAAAGGATGTTGAAACAGAATCCTTGAGAAGTAGACTTCTTGACCAGCTGGTCAGGGAGGCTGTCAAATCCCACATGGCCAGACAAAGACAAGTTTCGAAGCTCTTCATTAGACGGTGTCCGCATGGCCACAGCCATCGTGGCTGCAGCACTGGCTCCGGCTGCGCCCGGGTGCTCTCCACCGACTCGGGCTGCTGCTAGCGCTCGGGCTCCGGCTCGCCTCCCTCGCGTCTCCCTCGCGCCTGCGGTCTGCTCGCCGAAGTCACGCTCTCAGCCAGCGACATCTGCTCTGGATCTAATAAATCTTAGGTGGTGTCTGAGGACTTCTGTTTTTCACAAGCACTGAGTGTCTCATGATCAGGCATGTTTGGAAGTATCAGATTAGGTAGTAAATGGTAACCTGGTATCCTGCTGTGTTACATGGTGGAGTGCAGCTGACAGGACACCATGGGGATACTTGCATGATGGGGAGAAGCTAATATGTGAAACACGGGGCTCTGCGCACTAGGTAGAGAAGAGCCTCAGATTGGCCAGGGGTAGTTTGAGGTCACTAAATGCTTAAGGAAGGAAAGGAAGTATAGAATAATAATTGAAATTTGAATGTGTTAATTGCTTTGCAGCCTACACAATGTTTTTACGTTAGAGTCTTACTTGGTTTTCACAACTGGTCTGTAAATAAGCATTCCCTATATATCCATGTTATTTCTAAATCACAGAGGTCCAGGTGTTCGCCTAGGGTTCTATGGGAAGTTTCAGGGCTGAGCCCTGCAGTGTGTGCAGGAGCAGTGGATGAAGGGAGCCCTTCTCTTCTGATGCCATCAGCTGCTGACTTAACCACACATCTGACCTAGATGGCCATCAAATTTGTTCACCCTTTAAGCAACCAGGTGCCTACTGAATGAACAAAGAGGATATGGACAACATCCCTCAAATGCTAGAAAATTTAAGTTCTGCTAAATGAATATTACATACATTCCTCCAGAACCTGGCCTTACCCTGACGATTATTCAAATTGTGGTATATTTCTCTGGTCATAATGATAATAATCCCCATCACTTAACATGTGTCAGATACTGTGCTGAGTACTCTACTTGCTTTATCTCGTATATTTGATCGTAATCCTAAGAGCTTGGTATTGTAACAAGGCCTGTTTTGCAGATGAGGAAATGAAAGCTCAAATAGCTTGAAACATTGGCCCATGATTGTTCTGCTGGTGAGTGGGAAAGTGAATATTCAAATTCAGGTTTGCAGGTTCTAGGAATTGCGCTACATAACCTTTACCATAACCCCTGCCCCAACCCCACAGCTCTGACAGCCCATATTCACCAATGCACAGGCCAGCCTTGAGGCTTGAAACTGGAATTAACCTATCAAGGCACAAACTTTAAAAATCAGAAAAAAAAAGTAGAATACATATAGCCTCAAATTGTCTCCACAGCTGCTTTCAGACTCTGTGGTCTTGCTAATGGTTATACCCAAAGTCTTGGTAATGATCCTACATCTCTTGTTAATGGCTATCCAATGGGCCCCACTCTCACATGTTCTAACAATATAGGTAATCTTTAGAGGAGGATGATAAAAATAGCATGACTTTTTATAATTATATCTAAAATTTCCAGATAATTTTACATTTGATTGAAACCTCCTTGAACTTTTTAAGGCCAGCTTCCATCCCTGAAGATATCAGTTCCCTCTTTGATGTCATGTGAAAAACTGACTGGGCCCCACTCTATTTCTGACCTGGCATGAATGCCATCTGGCTTACTTAACCTAAGGCACCTGGATGTAACTGGTTTTGTTAGACACATGTAAATATCTTTTATTTAGATTATAGAAACCCAGGCATTGTAATCTCTTTTGACATCCATTAAAATAAAAGGTCTACTTGTTTCAGTGACATAATTTTTCAGAGACAAATAGAGGCTGCTTCTGTTGAAGTCACCTTTGTAGAAGGCATACAAAATCGGCTAACAGTAATGTAATTGTGTTAGTGCTTTCTGAAGGTAAAACATACAAAGAAAATGGAAAGTCTTAATTAGCACAACTCTTTATAGTAAAACCCAAAAGCTGAAAAAAGGGAGAAAATTATTATTATCAAATTATAGGGCTAGAGGAAGCACAGTTTGGAGCAGCTCATCTATGTTGCCTTCCCACACCTAGGATGTGTCCTAACAAATTCTGCAGACCCAGAAACAGATTAGGGAGCAACAAACTTTGTAAATTAAAATATTTGTTAAGAATGGAAAGTCAGAATCTGTGCTCAGCCACAAGCTGTGGCCTCAGTGAAAAAGGAGGTGGATTTCTGACCCCTTTTCTGGGAGCTAGTGGAGTTCTGGCTTCTCACTCTTCCTGTTTAGATGATAGTGGTGTCATTACTGACTGTGCCCATATATAACGTCTAGGCCCAGCTCCTCAAATTACACTTAGCATCATGGTTTCCAACCATCCTCCTAAGCTCTCAACCAGAGGTCCAGAATCTCTCTAGGGTCACCTACTGTGGTCCTGCCTCCAGGGATTTAATGGAGTCACCAAGCTACGACTCAAATCCCCTGTGTTCTCACTTTCCTCTCCACATAACTTATCATCAGCGCTCAGTGTCAATGAGCTGTCTTGCTATCATCCCTGAATTTTTGCCCTGGTAACCCACTGGTTTATAGAATCCCCCAGCCACTCATGACCTCCATAGCACTCTCCCAAGTCTTCCATACGCTCAGCAACCTCCCTCAGCTGCTCCTGCAGTCCTCAGACACATGCAAGGCCTCTCAGAGATTTACAGAAGTTGTCCACCTGTGTTAGTTTGCAAAGACTGCCATAACAAAGTACCACAGACTGGGAGGCTTTAAACAATAGCAATGTATTTTCTCATAATTCTGAAGGGTTGAAGAACTGTTAGAGTAGGCAGATAGATGCAAGCAGGCAGGGGGAGCCCCTGAATCAAGGGAGTCTGGAAAATCTCATACACAAGAGACCACCTGAAACATGCACGCCAGACAGGAGCAGAGAGGATAAGTATCTATGCAGGAAGGAACTCCCGTTAAGATACCTGGTAGTAGCTTGCTCTGCAGTTTACCTGGCAGAATGTAGCTAGATGCATGCTGATAAGGAGGGAAGGCAGCAAAAGAGAAATTCCTAAGAGATACATAGGTGCAATAAGTATGAGTTTGCCTGCTATCCAGTCTTCCAGGGGTGATGGTAATGAGCAGTGCCAACACTGGGCAGCACATGCACATCAACTGACAATAATAAGGGAGAATCCCACAACCCTGGTGTGGGAACTAGGTAGGGGAAAGGCAGGGACTTAAGGCAATAGCAGGAAAACCTAGACAAAGAAAAAAGGTAGAGACCTAAAACAGAGGCGAGAACTTCAAGAAAGAGTTCCACATAAGAAAAACTACAGTGCAGGATGATTGAGGCTGCTGGGGCCCATTCTTGCAGGAGCCCACTCTGCCCCATCTTTCAGAGTATTGTCCCTTTAAATAAACTCTCTCTCCATTTTCCTTCAGTAAAGCTCTCTGCTATCTTTGAACTGTCTCTCTTGGCTGAAATCTTTCTCCCAAAATGACTAAGGACTGAAGATTCCTCCACTTCCTAGTAACAGAATAATATCAAGGTGTCAGTGGAGTGGGTTTCCTCTGAGGGCCCCTCTCCTTGGCTTCTGGACGGCCATCTTCTCTTCATCTTTATATGGTTTTGAATTGAAATACCATTTCCTGTGGCTCACCTGCTCAGACCCTACAAATATTCTCTCAGATTCAGAATTAATCCAGGCTTCTTACTGTGGCTGATGATGCCTCACACCAAAGACCCCTGAGTAGTTGCATATTTCCCAGACCTCAGTTCCCTCCAACTGGCAATCTCATATACATCATCTTTGACAACCTGGCCTGCTACTTACCACTTTTTATTTTTGGAGACAGTCTCTTGCTCTGTCACCTAGGCTGGAGTGCAGTAGCATGATCTCAGCTCACTGCAACCTCTACCTACTGGGTTCAAGTAATTGTCCTGTCTCCGACTCCTCAGTAGCTGGGACTACAGGTGTGTGCCACCATGCCTGGCTAATTTTTGTATTTTTAGTAGAGATGAGGTTTCACAGTGTTGGCCAGATCATTCTCAAACTCCTGACCTCAGGTGATTCACTCACTTTGGCCTTCCAAAGTGTTGGGATTACAGGTGTGAGCCACCACACCCAGGATGAGTATTCTTATTTCTTCTTCTGAGAGATCTTGATAAGCTCACTTATGCCTCAGAACCTTTGCCCCATCCCCACAGCCTAAATCACCCTCCACACAAAGCTTTAAATGTCTCATCCCCATACTCATTAAATCTCTGCAAGAGAAATGCATTAATTAATAAGCTCCTCTTTATAAAACTATCAGATCTCATGAGACTTTTTCACTATCATAAGAACAGCACAGGAAAGACCCTACCCCATGATTCAATTACTTCCCACCAGGTCCCTCCCACACACATGGGAATTGTGGGAGCTACAATTTAAGATGAGATTTGGGTGGGGACACAATCAAACCATATCATCTGACTTAGAAACTTTAAAATGTTTTGTATGTTAAAAGCCAAGTTGATAACTTTGGAAAGATTTGGATTAAAGGTTGTTAGATAAAGAGGAAAAGGAAGGGAAAATAAAACAAATGAGGATAAGCAGAAAAGACTAAATTTCAACATATCCCCTATCTTCTTGAATCACTCTCTTAGACCTGAGAATAGATCAGTTCAGTCAAATAGCTGTGTCCCATTTCAGGAGGTGGCATTGCAGATGGGCTAGGCCTCTATATGCAGCACACATCTTTAGTGAGAGGTATTTCTAAGGAAATAGAAGAAAAACAAAAGTGAATGTCTGAAGCATTCTATATGCTAGTTTTTCTAGAGACTCTAAAGCATCTTCAGATGCCAGGGGCCATCTGATGGCTTTTTTTTTCTGGATTATACTTTGAATTAGGTGTTCAGGTGAGCTTTCTGAGTAGTCCATAAATCATCAGGTATGAAGGCTGTTTATCTAAGAGTTGCTGTAGTGATTTCTTCTACAGTTTATTCAAGTTGTCTGTTTCCAAAAAAAAAAAAAAAAAAAAAAGCACAGGTTTGATTTCTAGTGATTCCAAGTGAGAAAAAATAGAAGAAAAATTTGAAATCATTAGTTTGAATATTTGTAACTAGGTTAAGGGTTCAATCCAAATTTTAGGAAATTATGAAAACTAAAAACTACAAACACGGCTACAATCGAATAGCAAGTGCACTATAATTTTCTTCTCAAACATAATTTTTTCTCCCC